TTTCAATTTGTTATTGAGCCTAGATGCGAATAAATCAACAACCGAATAGCCGAATGTTCTGAACAAGGCTTTAGCCATATCCGCATCTAGAGACCACTCGGACTTTTCATGGCGAAAAAAACTCTAGACTCATGACCAGCCACACTATTTAGTGTGCCTGGACGATATGTGGCTGACAGGCGGATGTTACGTTCTGTCGCCCACTTACTCATTTCTCTGGCTATAAGGGTCATAGCTATATTAATGGTGCCCCGTGTTTCTTGATGTAAGCGATGGTAGAGGTGTTGTCCACCTTCATCAATACATCTACATCGCGCCAATCCCTGGCAAACGGAAGGCCAGACAAAAGGCCGAAGTAGGCTGCCTGCAACTCAAGCGTGTTTATATGCGGCTTCTCCTCTTCTGGAGTCCAGCCCAGGTCTTCTGTCCGCAACATATCGCCCCCCATCCTGACTTTGATGCTCGGTTGTGATGATCACATCAGGGAAAAAACTGGCAAAGAATGACGAAGTCACAGATGGGAACCTCTGTGCAAATTAGCACAGCTCTCTTTTACCCTCGTTTGACAATGTCAAGGACCCTCAGAGGTGGAGTCATCCCTTGGTTTTACGACTAGGGCTAGGTCGTGTTGCAGAATCCGCGTCATATGCATGGCTAGCGAAGAAGCAATCGCTGCGAAATTTATTCTCCTGAGAAATTAAGAGAGGTCTCGGGCTCCCACTTCCTCGTGGGCTGCCAGCGACCTCGCTTCGCTTTGTAATCAGGCTGTTTGGGTAACGTGAATCTCATGGCTATGGTGTCTATGTCAATGCCCAAAAAGTGCAGGTTCTGTCTTGGTGTAAGAACAGATTTCTCGGTATTGACTCGTAATCCTAACATAGCAAACACCTTCAGTGCGTAGCGCGTATACCGTATGCGCTCCTGTCTGCTGCCGGCAAAGATAGCCCAATCATCCAAATACATGACCTAATGCCCTTGGATCGCAGGTGCTGAGCAACAACGCGCATGAGCTTCGTATAAACGTATGATGGGGCCGTAGCCATCCCGAAAGGCCGGCATGTAAAGTAATAAATGCCGTTCTTCCAACGAAAAGCTAGGTA